TCCCGCTCGCATGCTCTCTCTCAAAAATAAATAAACATTAAAAAAATTTTTTTTAAAAAGGTAAATCAGACCCATGGACGCAGGGTCCTGTAAAATGTCTCTCAAATAATTCTTGTGTGCAGCCAAATCTGCAAATTGTCTCCTAGGTAAGAACTGGGAGTTTTCATTTGTACCCACCAGGGTGTAGCACAGTGCTCACCATAGCTGGACTATGATAAACATTTGGGTAATGAATGAAATCTAGTAACACGAATCTGGGGATGGGGTGTATATATTCAATTCCAGCAGCAGCACCCAGAAAAACTGCTTCCTCGAATAGAACTGGGCAGCTTTTCAAACGTGTTTTTTAATCCACCAGTGCCCTCTACTGACCTGAAGATGGATAACTAAATCAAAACAATGGTTACAGTTCAAATATTTTAATTGTATGTGCGCATAACTAGTCTCTCACAAACACACGCGCGCGCGCACACACACACACACACACACACAGAGTACTTTTTCCACCAACACCTATACTATCAATCCCTATTCCCTTCAGTCCTGGCTGACCCAAGCTGATAACTCTCAAACCCAGATCAATCCTGCCAGTTGCTAGTCTCCACTTCCAGGAAGCAATCATGACAGAGCTCACGAAAGCAGCTCTCAGCAGAGCAATCAAAGCCTCTTACTGATCTTTTTTGTTCCTTGGTCACTGCCTCTTCCAAATCCCACCATATTCATAAAACCACTCACCTTTGGAAAACACAAGGAACCATTCATCTACCAATCTGCCTCACTTTATGCTATTCAAAGTATGATGGGGGAGCAGCAGCATCTATACTATCCAGAAGTGTGTTAAAAAAGGGAGACTCAGGGGCGCCTGGGTGGCGCAGTCAGTTAAGCGTCCGACTTCAACCAGGTCACGATCTCGCGGTCCGTGAGTTCGAGCCCTTCGTCAGGCTCTGGGCTGATGGCTCAGAGCCTGGAGCCTGCTTCCGATTCTGTGTCTCCCTCTCTCTCTGCCCCTCCCCCGTTCATGCTCTGTCTCTCTCTGTCCCAAAAATAAATAAACGTTGAAAAAAAAATTTAAAAAAAAAAGGGAGACTCTGAGGCCCCACCGCAGATCTATCAAATCAGAGTTGCACGTACAAATTTTGAGAGGCACTGGTTCTCACCTTCCTCAACTACTAAACCTGACATCGCCATTTTATGACAACTATTTTTCTAAGTGACTGCTTTGCTATCTTGAAATAAAATTCATCACCCACTACACGCATAAGTCGAAAAAAAGAGAGGCCAGTATCCTGATTTGATGGTAACATAATGGAGAACAAAAGGAAAAGATTTATAATAGGAATTATATTTCAGTATATAAATGCTCAACACAACTAAATTAAACATGTGCAGCACAATCCGAGTTCCCAAAATGTATCCCAATTGGGTGGTACTGTCCAGCTGAGAACCACTGGTCCACCATCACTCCCACCCTTTTCCTTCTACCTCATAGGAGGAAGGCAACATCTTTCCTCCTTTTTGAAGCTGAGGGATTCTCTCTTAGAAAAGCCTCCTCCCTGGGGCGCCTGGGTGGCTCAGTCAGTTAAGCGGTTAAGCATCCAACTTCGGCTCAGGTCATGATCTTGCAGTTCGGGAATTCAAGCCCCCGTGTCAGGCTCTGTGCTGACAGCTCAGAGTCTGGAGCCCACTTCAGATTCTGTGTCTCCCTTTCTCTCTGTCCTTCCCCCGCTCATGCTCTCTCTCAAAAATAAACATTAAAAAAAATTTTTTTAGTTTATATATATATAAAAAAAAGAAAAGGCTCCTCCCTACATTCCTAAGGCCATAAACACTGTCAAATCTTGAATAGTGGAACAACCACAAAAACAACTCTATAATCTTGACCTAACAGGCCTCTCCAGTTACCAACCATATTCCTCTCTCCTTCCCTTAAAGGAGAAAATCAAACTTATCAACCCCACCACCAATGTGTCCATTTACCCATGTCTCAGTAACCAGCCCACGTTAATATAGCTTTCACTTCTATCAGTAAACCCGTATGTATAAAGGTCATGGAAGCTTTCCAAATTGCCCAAATTAATGAGCACTTCTCCAAATTCATCTAACTTATCTCTCTGTAATGGACATTGTTGACTGTACATCTGAATTCCATTCCCTGCTGTGTTCATAAATTCATTTTTCTCCCCGGTGATTGAGATAAATTGACCCCATCCCCAGTTGATTTTGTTAGTCTTGGCCAATCAGAGCATGGCATTGCCCTGGCAATGGTTATCAGCTGAGGGGCAGACATGTGACTGAAGTTGGTCCAATCAGACTGAAGGAAGAGGGTAATCCAAGCGTGGGAGTTCTGTCCTCTCCCTTGCTCTAGTGAATGAGAAAACGTGTTACTACTGCCTGTTACGCTGCAACCATAAGGAAAATCAATCTTACTATGAAAAGCCAAGAAAAGGACCAGGTCCTTGATGACATTGTTGACCCACTGGAGTCCACCCATCCTCTAGACTTTGTGAGAGAATTCTCACAAAGTCTATTTAAGCAAGTGGGTTTTCCCAGCTGAAAGCATCCTAACATAGTCTGTCCATGAAACTTTTTTCCCTTGATTTTCTAAACGTCACCCTTTTGTACACCTACTTCCCAGATTTCTAGCCTCCCCTCTTCCTCTGCCTATTCCTTACACTTAGGTGTCTGCCAAGGTTTGTTGTGATCTTTTCTACTCAAACTACATGTTTGACTAATTTAACCTGAGATAGACTAGTACTTCCTACTTGGCTTTCAAACCTAAATGTAAATGTCTCTTCTGTGAAGCCTCCCCTGAAGTCCCCAGGGGTTCTATGCCCTTTTGTTGTGCCATACATCTCCTTGGTGGTCTGGTGAGCCCTATGGACCCGTACTCAAAATAATGCTTCTAACTGTATAAAATGCCAACTATACTTCAATAGTTAGAAAAACATTTTTAAAACTCAAAATCAGATATAGGAATATAGGCTTATTAGCTCATTAAATAAAAAGACTTAACAGTGAGTCTTATAACTACTGTAATATTGAAGTCGTGATGATCACAAATGATTGATACCTTGAGATCTGCAATAACTGTGTTACGAAAATGTCTATGATATGTATTGGTCCTGTGACTTCCACTGGTGATGAGTATTGCTAATACTAGTGCGCTTTATTGCTGTACTAGCTTATTAAATTAATCACTCCCAATGAACCACATCTCCTCATAGCCAGACTCTTGAGTAATGTCCCCACATTGACTCTGGGCTTGGCCATGTGACTTGTTTTGACATCAGCACATGTGATGCAAGCAGGTAAGTGTTTGCACAATCAGACTTGCCCTCTTAGGACCTAGTGACCATGTGAGGAAGCCCAAGGTAGGCACAATGGAGGCACCAAGCCCTCACACATGACAATAAGGCCACCTTACAGTCTAGCCACCAGCCGAATTCAGCCAATGGGGGATGCCAGCAGAACTGCCCAGGCAGACCCACTGACCGTGAGACATAACAAATCATTATACTTTTAAGGCACTGGTTTGCATTGGCTTGTTGCCTAACAAAAGCTAACTGATACAGTTACGTACACTTGTAACTGAAGGAAATGCTACATTTCAGTTGGCAATTGGTGAAAATGAAGTTTTTTCACATCAGGGTTTAGGGACTTCCCTGAATTCTATCTACAGACCCTCGGAGGGGCTGAAGACCACAGGTTAAGAACACTTGGTGCAGAGGGGAACCCCCGAGGCAGAGGAGATCCTGCTCTCCTTTCTACTACCACCAGTACATTGTTGATACCCATATAAACGGATCACAGCACATCTTTTGTTGTTGCAACACTAAAACTGAGCTGAACTCCTTGCACACAATAGGTATTCAACACAAATGTAAACTGCTTATGGGATCTGTCCCGTAACTAAACTGTGAGCTGCCTGAAAACAAACTAAAAGCACTTATATGGCACTTCTATATGCCAAAGGCTCTTCCAAGTGCTTTAAACATACTTATTTACTCCTTATAACAACCCTATGAAGTATATGCTATTCCCCCAACTTTACAGACAGGAAAACAGGCACAGAAAGGTTAAGGAATGTGCCCAAGGTCACCCAGCTGGAAAGTGGCAATGCCAAGACTGGAAGGCTGAATCCATGTTCTGATTTTATAGCGTGTCCTAATGTGCCCTAAGCACATTGCAGGAGCAAAATAAAACTTCTAAATGAGTAGTACAATTTTGAGATTTCATTAGCACTATTTTACAGGTGCTGTGCTTCTTGAAGACTCAATGCTGTACACTAACTTCTGGGAGCTTATGATTTGTTTTTCACGATAGAAAACATCATTTATTTTTTTTAAATAGAATGATGGCTTCAAGTTTAAAATGCAGATTTTTGAAACAAAGTCTTCACTCTGAAAGGCGATCTCTTTCAAAGGAAATGAACTTGTAAAATGTAAAACAAGGGGGTCGACTTGTCGGTACCAAATAATGTTCACTTGAGAGGGGAACAAAGTTGCAGCTTACCACCCTTCCAGCCATTCCCACATTGCCATACCAGCTTCCCCAAATCCTGCAGCAGCTTCTCCGAAGGTGACCCTCCCCCATTCACACGTCAGGTTCTGAAACCTGATCCTGCCAGGCAACCAAAGCCGAACCCTGCAGTGCCCTGAGCTGGCCTCTCCTTACACACGAACCCGAGGGCACCATCGGGGGTGTGTGTGATTATTTTGGGGGGGACTTTAACTTTTCAAAGTGTTTTATTCACGAAAGCAAGACCCACAGGGCCCACCCACCCATCCCGGGATCTCACGCCTCCGCCCAGCAACCTTTCGCTCCTAGGTGACCGGTGAAAGAACAGCTGGGTCGGGACGCAGCTGGCCCAGAGGCGAGAAAAGCCTCAGGGCGAGCCGGGCCTGGCCCCCGGAGAGGCCCACGAGAGCGCGGGCAGGGCTCCACAAGGCCGGGAGGGGGCGGTGACAGTTGTGACCCGGCTCCACGCTCTCACCTTGAACATGTTGCTGGCAGAGGTGGCTCCCGCGGGGTCACCCCGGCCTCGGCCCCGCCCACTACAGAGAGGTCGCTACGGCGGCCGGGTAGGGCCCTGATTCCTCTGACCGCAAGCGGGCCGCGCTTCGGGTGACTGCCGTACAGCCAATTCGATCCCGCGAAGGCTTAGTTCGGAAGCCTGGTCTGGTAGCGGCGTCGCCGAGCTGCAGCGCGTCGCTCCTCAGACTGCCTGGGAACGCAAGCCCCGCCTCCAGGAGGCTCCGCCCCTGCGCCAGCCGTTGCTAGGCGGCAGGAAAGCGCCAGCTCCGTGTGGGCAACACGCGGGGGCGCGAGGAGGGAGGTGCCGGGCACCGCGCCGCGCTGGGAATAGGCCTTCGCTGCCGCGATTGGGCGCCCAGCGACTTGGGCTGGGAATCCTCTGCTCCGAGGACGCCGGGCGGGGGCGCTCGACGGGTATCGAGCTGCTTCGAAAGTCTCATGGCCGGAAGTTGCCGACCTCTGGGGCCTGGATTTATCTCACAAAAGGTTTTCAGATTTTTTTTTTTTTTTTTTTTTACCGTGGGGTGGAAGTTCCTAAGGTTTTGAATTTAATATAATTTTCCATGTCCTTTACTCTCGAAAGGCCCTGACTTTTTTCCCTTTAAAATGCTTAAGCGTATACCCGTCCCTGGGAATCACATGTCCCTTCATACTACTAGAAATAGGTAATAATGAGAATACTTATCTTATTAACAAGAATAGCAGAAACTAACGTAGTGTTTACTATGTGCTCAGCTCTAATCTAAGCTCCTTACACATATTCATCTAATCTTTCCAACAACCCAGGTAGATGAGTATGATTATTAGTCCCAGTTTAGTAGATTAGGAAACCGAGGCACAGAGAAGTAATTTGTACAAGGCCACACCGAAAAAGCGGGAACCCGGGATCCAAACCTAGGTAGTCTGCCTTTAAAACCTGTGATCTCGCCTAAATAATTGTTATAGTGTCTCATAATGAGGGTTTCATATTTCAATCTGTATTATGCTTCCTCACCCCATAGAAAGTGTAAATTCATCCAGGCAGGCATCTGGAAGATTTTTGTGGTTTGTGTGGTGGCATGTCGCTGTCTTCCAGCCCAAGACCAAAGACAAGTGTTCAACCACTTGTAGTTGTACAAGTTGAGTATATCTCTGCTGCGAGGAAAACTCACAACTTGGCACAACGGGGCATCTCACTAAGGGGGTGCTAGAAAGGTGTATAATAAGATTTGGGCTTTGGTTGGGTCATGTGGGAGTGAATTCAAGGAAGCCTGGCTTTGCTCTGGTTTGGGTGTTGTTAGGAAGCCAGGGTAACACCAAAGCCCAGCTGTGAGTGTCAGGCCAACTCCCAGATGTTATGGGCTGATTTTCTCTTGATCCAGATATTTGTATATTCCAAGCCATCCCCATCCATATCCCCAAGGACAAATATTGAAAAGACTCTGAAGGCTCTGTATCAGTAATGGAATGTCACGTGTATATAAAAGTGTGAAGTATAGTGATAAATTAGGGTAAGAGTTCTTAATTCAGGGGGTGTATGAACTTAGATGGGGAAAAAATTACAACTTTATTTTCACTCATCTGTAGCTGAACTTTAGCATTTCTTTCAATTATAGTGTAGGCAGTAAAGCACAGTAGTATCAGCAGTACTGGCGACTTTCTCCCCAGTAGAAAGCACAGATATTTTCATATAATGGTACAGTCGTAGCAGACATCTTGACATAGCATTTCTGCTCATTACCTCTTGACGAGTACAGTAGTTTTGAGAACTCTCATTTAATGCATAAAGAGGACAAATTCCTATAGTTTTGATTTTGAAAATGTTTTCACAGTGATTTCAATATAATTGTGGAGTCCTTTGTGATCGTACGTGTTTTATGTTATGAATTTATAAAACATAATTCTTAGGGGTGCCTGGGTGGCTTAGTCAGTTAAGCAACTGACTCTTGATTTCAGCTCAGGTCATAATTTCATGGCTCGTGAGTTCGAGCCCCACACACGGAGACTGCTAGGGATTCTCTCTCTCTTTCTGCTCCTCCTCCACTTGTGCACACACACTCTCTCTCTCAAAACAAATAAACTTAAAAAAAAATAACATAATTCTTAGAAGGAGTCTGTCCAGGGGCGACTGGTTGGCACAGTCAGTTAAGCATCTGACTCTTGATTTTGACTCAGGTCATGATGTCAGAGTCATGGGATGGAGCCTGCTTGAAATTCTCTCTCTCTCCCTCTGCCCCTCTCCCCAACTCATGCTCTGTCTCTCTCTCTCTACAAAAAAAAAAAAAAAAAAAAAAGTCTGTCCATACAGGTCCATGGCACCAGAAGAAAGGATAAAGAGTCCCTGCTTTAGTAGAAGAGACTAAGCAGTGACTTTGAATTTCGGAACTGCATTCAAATTGGAGTAATGTGTTAAAGGATGGAAAACCAAAGGTGGAATCATTTAGTATACACCCTCTCACTTTACCATGGAGGGAGCTCAGCTACGGAGAGGTTAAGGAATTTGCCCAAAGTCTCACTGCTATTTCATGATAAAACCAGGACAGAAAGTTCTCAGGCAAGCATGTAAAAACCCTGCACTCTCGGTAGGCACAGAAGATTCCATAGTTAGCAAGATGCCTCTGGCCCTCAACAAGCTTATTGGGGTGACCGCCAAGAAAACAAATTATGATGCAATATGAGAAGTACTGTAAAAGAAAAACGTGTATGGTATTATGGGACCTTGGAGACAGGGTGAGCAGTTGTATGAAAAAGAGAGGGTGGAAAACTTCAGAGAAGAGGCATCAATTAGCTGGCGTCTTGGAGCCTGAGTTGATGTTTGCTGGTGGTGGAGACGTCACTGCAGGGAGAGGAAATGGCATGATCAGTGGTACAGGTGTGTAAAACATTGACTAATTTTGGGGACAAGTTCTTGTTCTCACAGTCTAGAGAGGAATGCTGATTAAAGTTGGTATTTTGATGTTTGAGAGATTGGACACTAGACAGAAAAGTCTGGAACACCATTCTAAGGAGTGTGGACTTCAGTGTGGAGGAAATGAAGTGTCCCTGAAAGATTTTAAGTTAGGGAGTGAGAAGGCTAGATTATTGCTCTACGGGATTAACTCAGCTGCAGTGTGGAGGAACCCAGAAGGACACACAGACTGGAGACTGAAGGCCAGTTAGAAGGCTATGGATAGATCCACTTGTCTTTTCCATATACCTCAGAATATTTTTAGTACATAAAGCATGCAAACTGTAAGCAACATTAAGATCCATGTTGCCTTCCTTTGTAAAGGGTTCTGTTATTAGCCCAACAACCATATGGCAGTTCAGTTTTGTCCAAACAGTGCAATAATATAGATTATGACCTCAAATGCCGAATCTGTGTACTTTCAGAGTACTTTGTCAGGAAAATGAAGCACTGGAAGTGCTTCTCAAAGGCATCAGTTACTGATGTTCTGAAACCAGATAAGCCATGCTCAGGAAAAGACCACAAAGTGCATTTGTCAAATACTGTAAAGGGAACAGCAGTACAGCAGTAAGTAGCTGTCTTTCGCCCTTTATCATTTTCCACCACGGGTCAGTTTCCATACGGTATTTACCCAGCTAACATCAAACACTTCTTGTTTTATAAATTAGAGGGGTTTTTTTGTCTGTTTTAAAATTACTTTTGAATTGAATAGTAATTATAATAATTATGGTATTTCATAATTTGCAAAGCATGCTAACACACATTTCTTTGATCCTGACAACTGTGAAGCAGTCTTATTATTACATTTTATAAGTGAGGAAGCAGCCACTGGGAGAAGGTAAGTGATTTGCATAAGGTTAACTAGCTAATGAATGGCATCAGCTAGGATTTAAAGCTTTGTTTCCATACTCCAGGCCTTTTCAACTCTGCGTCTTGTAGTCTGCATTCGCCAGCTAATGGTGACTTTATATAAGAGTACTTACTTGGGGCGCCTGGGTGGCTCAGTCGGTTAAGCGGCTGACTTCGGCTCGGGTCATGATCTCGCAGTTCGTGACTTCAAGCCCCGCGTCGGGCTCTGTGCTGACAGCTCAGAGCCTGGAGCCTGTTTCAGATTCTGTGTCTCCCTCTCTCTGACCCTCCCCTGTTCATGCTCTGTCTCTCTCTGTCTCAAAAATAAATAAACGTTAAAAAAAAAAAGAGTACTTACTTCTCTTTACATGAAGCCTTGTGAGGGGTAATGATGGGATGGGGGGGTGGAGGTTGGGAAAGGGTGGTCCCTACAATTCGCTAGTGCTGACACATGATCAAAAGTAAAATAATTCTTTTACCTGACCTGACGGGGTGAGCCTGGTTCAAGCAAAGATCAAAGAAGGGAGTTTCTCTTTCTGGGGCCTGGTTGTCTGTTCCCAGAAGAAAATTGGACCTACCGTAACTTTGAGTATTCTGCATGCTATTTTCATTGACTTGGACTAGTCGGACAGTGTTTTAAAGAACTAACTGTAATGGAATCATTTTAGGTCACGGATGTTTCAAGAAAGCAGATTTGTCCCTTCACACGTTTTTATTTATAATATATATACTTTTGCTGATACAGTTTTAGCTGGGACTTTTTCTTGATCTCAAGGGAAATATTCTCAAATATTTTATATCCTCCTTCTGACTAAATTCTGCAAATGACCAGTTCCAATTACCACATCGAAATGTTCCTCATAGGTCAGTCTTAGGGTGGGGGATGGGATGGTACAGGGGGAAGAAGCAGAAATTCAGAGTTCCCCAAGATTTTAGGAAAATGGAAACTACTTCACTCATCTTAACCTCTTTTTGTTCCCTCTCAGAACTAATAAAGATATTTCAGCCCAAAGGATACAGAGAGCTTGGTTATCTCATATGGACCAAACAATATTTCAACTCCTAAAGCACACGATTCGTGCAGCAGTATGTATTTTGCTTTTTGTTTTCTCTGGAAGATTTAATTACTTACAAGCTAAAAGGTGTGTGAAGTAAAGATAGAACATGTAACCTTTTTTTGATGTCCTATTTGAACCTAATAATAACGCATGCGGTTCTAGGATTGCCCTAAATGAATATTTCTGGATTTATTTGTAAATGACGTGCCTATTACTTCCTTTTCTGAAACCAAAATAAGAACTTTTAAAAATTTCGATTTCTTATTTGAAGATGTGGGCCAGTGATCATCAACAAGAAAAATCTCTGAATTAAAAGTGCCCTTACCTTCCAGCCGGCAATCTCACTTCTAGGAATGCATTCTACAACACATGTACAGTTTCATCGCAGTATTGTTTGTAACAGCAGACAAAGTAAACCATAGAGTGTTCACCTATGGGGTGCTAGTTAAATAAGCCTTGGTGCTTTCGTAGTGTTAAACCTCGCAGCCTTGCATGTGATTCTGCAATACAAACAAAGGCAGCTAAGATAGCTCATTAGTAAAAAAGGCAAGTGCAGGGCAGTGTGAGTAATATGGTCCTATTTAAGTACAAAACAGAAACGAAAGCAAAAACAAAAACACCCCAAAGGTGGGCATGCCCCACCTCCACTCTCCAAAAGAACAACTCTGGCAACGCCAGCGGAGTATTAAGCTTTCCTTCATACAGTACCAAGTATTCTAAGCATATCACCCCTGATTACAGTAGTCTGTAATTAGTGATAGTCACATTAAGGGAGTTTTAGCAGCTCTGAGCAGCTTGTACACTTCTTCACCATCTGAGCCACAGACCCATTTCTGATGCCAGTAAGCAGAATACCTCAGGGAAAACCCACTCAGGTAAGTGGGTGCCGGTTCAGGTCCATTACCCGTTCATTGTCTTCATGTATGGCACTGGCATTTAATTATCATAATACTGGTTTTGGTATAACTTTAGATGCTTAGGGTAACAGAAAAAAGGAAATTAATTCTTTTTTTAAAAAATCTGTTGTCCTGACACTTCAAGATCCTACCTTACATTAATAATGATTTGTCATTATAAAAGGCCTTTGGTGTACTTTTTTATGTGATTGTCATAGGCATAAAGGTTGGCCGGGTCATATGGGGGCAGGGGGTGGGGGCTTTAGAGTCAAAGAGATCTATGTTTGCATCCTGGCTTGTCCATTTATTACCCGCGTGCCTTTGAATAAATTACAGACACCCCCAGAGTTTCAGCCTGCTCATTGGAAAGCTGAGAACAATAATGTTTGAATAATATTGCTGAGGTGTAAAGATTAAATGAGGTTATGTATATAAGGCGTTAACAGAGCATGTGGTATATAAAAGGTGCTTAAAAGCTAGTGACATTACAGTTATTTTCCTCATTTTACAGTGATTCATTCAATACCAAATATTTGTTAACCACCTGCTGTATTCCAAGGACTGTATTAAATGCTAAGAACACATGATAGAGTAAAAAGACAGTATCCCGTACCTTCACGCCCCTTACAGTCTAGTGGAAGACACAGATTAGTTTATAGTTAATTAGAGTACATGGTGAAAAGTGTTGTCAGAGGGAAAAAACAGTGCCTGGGATCTCAAGGAGGGACACCTACTCAAACTTGGAGGCTAAAAGGATGAAGTAACTGACTCAAGGCTACACGGGTAATAAACGGAGGAGCCAAGACTAGAACCTGGGTCTTTAGAACATCAAGTCTGGTGTACTATTCACTTCACCATGCCACCTCTGTTATTTTCAGTAAATTACGTCTGGGCAGGGTACCATTTTCCATTGATAGCATCATCATCTATTTCAGGAACTTCGTGTGACACATCAAATACTGAAGGAAGTGAACCCCTTAGAGGCTGAGCTTGTGAAAGATCCTAGCATGAAGTGTAAAGTTAGATTCAGGTAATATTTCTATACTGATTTATTTCAAGAAGCACTTAGTTAAAATGAAGAAAACTTAGAAATTTATTTTCTTAAGTCCTCATAAATTCTCAGGGTATAATTACAGAGTAAATGTGTTGTTCTTATTTTCATTTATTATGTGGAGAAACAGAGACATGACTCTTGGGCCACAAGTTGCCTTGAGAGTGGCTCCTTTTCCATGATGTGTCCAATCTGACACACGAATGAGAATAGTTGTGAGCCCACACACCAAAGTGTGACTCTTTCACCTCTGTAATCCATTTTGTTACCTGTTACGGAGGAGAAGTAACTCAGCCCCAAGCCTGATGCCAGATGACTAATTTTGGGTCTTTATTTCAGATTTAGTGGTGAAACATTTCCACCTGTCATCGTATTTAAAATTTTTCTTCATACCGAAGGACATGGTTACAACTATTTCAGTGGAAAAAAATTCTTAAAGCCATCGAGTGAGGTGATGTTTCTTTCACAATGTACATTTTATGTTGCTTTAGTTTCTTAACATCTTTGTAGTATCTAAATTGCACTTGAAATGTACAGACTAAGTTATTTCACCATTAAACAGCCCAGCAGGCGGGTAATATTTTTTTAAGCATTATGTTTCAAGAGTGTCTCTGTTTATCAGCTAAAAAATATTTGGAATGAATTCCTTATATAAGGCTCTAAAAATACTCATCACTTTTCTTTGTATTAAAATTTTGGGGGCGCCTACGTGGCTCAGTCACTTAAGCGTCTGACTTCAGCTCAGGTCATGATCTCACGGTTCATGGGTTCGAGCCCTGCAATGCCCTGAGTTCTGGGTATATATACCAGTATATATACAGTAATTCTATCTACAGCATAGGAATCATCTGAGAATCTTGTTAAAATGTAGTTTCTGAGGTGCCTGGGTGGCTCAGTTGGTTAAGCATCTGACTTCAGCTCAGGTCATGATCTCACAGTTTGTGAGTTTGAGCCCCGCATCAGGCTCTCTGCTGTCAGCACAGAGCCTGCTTTGAGTCCCCTGTCCCCCTCGTTCTCCACCTCTCCCCCACGGCTTGTCTCCCCCCCCCCAATAAATAAATAAATAATGTAATTTCTGATTCATTAGCTCTGGGACAGGATGTGTGATTCTGCATTTCTAACCAGTTCCTAGGTGCTGCCACTACTGCTGGCCCACGGACCCTACTTTTAATAACAAGGATCTACAGTGTAGGTTTTGCTCCTTTGGCCTTTATACACGACAATGATTGAGAAAAACATGTGCATTCTTATACTTAGCCTTTTATAAACCGTACATCAAAGGTTATTTTCCTGTAGCCTTCTGGAAATAGTTTACATGAAAAGTATGGTCCATCTGAAATCATCAGTAATGGAATGTGTTCAGGATAGAAGACCATACAGCCTGGGAGTTTTCTTTTTTTTTTTTTTAATATATTTATGCATTTATTTTGAGGAAGGAGGGGCAGAGAGGGAGGGAGAGAATCCCAAGCAGGCTCTGCACTGTCAACATAGAGCCGTATGCGGGCCTCAAACCCACAAACTGTGAGATCATGACCTGAGCCGAAATCAAGAGTCAGATGCTCAACCAACTGAGCCACCCAGGTGCCCCTGGGAGTTTCTGATCAGATTCAGGATGTACGGCATTTATTCTCTGAAGAATATTAGAAAATAAAAAGAGACTGCTTTTCTCTGTGTTCTCAGGCAATATCAGAGAAAATTTAATTCAGTTTCAGAATGTATCAAATGGACTGTGTGTTTTCATATGGAATATGGTATTCTGGAAACAATATTTGTTCATTTATATAGAATAACTTCAAATGCAAAAGTTGATATTTATCCTACATCTTGAGGAATAAAGTCGTGCTACATTTATGTACAGAATGAGCTTGTCGTTGTTCCTATAAAATATCATCAATTCTTGGTTTTCTGAGGTTAGATAATGAGACTTTTCCAGGAACTGAAATTCTCTTGGATCTGCCCTTGGTGGCCCCTACTGTCCACAAGCTGGAGCAAATGCAAAACTTAGAGGTCGTGACTGGAAAGCACTGTGTGTATATTAAAACTCATAAAAATGCTGTATAATAAATTCAGTTTTTATTTAAATTACAAAGTAACTGTTAGGAAAAAAAGGAAATAGCACAGAGATTTTTTTAAAAAGAAAACCACCTCATGCCTTTTCTCTCTGTGCTGTGACTTCCACTTTCCTGGGGTGATCACTGTTAATAGTTTACTGTGTCTCCTTCTTTTGTTCCATAAAAAATACTCACACAAATATATTTTAAAAAATTTTTGATCTTATTATAAAAATGTGATAGCACTATTTAGTTTGAGTTTTTCACTAAATATTCTAAGGGGATTTAAATGATCAGAACACAAGAGAACAGTTTAGAATTCCTTTTTCCCTTTAGTTCAACTTTGTAACAAACTCTGCTAACACTTGGATACATGGTTGATAGAAAACCTGTAGAAGTAGAATTTTTCTCACTATAAGTCTACTCAGGTCCTTTGAATGTAGAAATTGTGTGTTTAGCAAACTGATCCAACTTTTCTAAGTTCACTTTCTCTTGTTTTAAACATTTTATTATTATTATTTTTTAAATGTTTATTTATTTTTGAGAGAGAGGGAGAGAGCGGGGGAGGGGCAGAGAGAGAGGGAGACACAGAATCCAAAGCAGGCTCTGGGCTCTGAGCTCTCAGCACAGAGCCTGATGCAGGGCTCGAACTCACTTACCGTGAGATCATGGAGATCATGACCTGAGCCCAAGTCAGATACTCAAATGACTGAGCCACCCAGGTGCCCCTTAAGATTTTATTTTGGGGTAATCTCTATACCCAACATGGGGTTCGAACCCACGACCCCAAGATCAAGAGTCACATGCTCTACCAACTCAGCCAGCCAGGTGCCCCCACTTACTTCTTAATATGAAATAAACAAGTCAGTTTTAGTTCAGACGTGTAATCTAAGTTCACTTATGAAGAAGGGGAGTTTCACAGAGTTTTGTTATTGTTCTGTCTTTTCCCTAGTTGTTATTTCCATTTCTAGTTTCATTTCCTTACCATTTCCCGATGGTATTTCTCAGGTATTCACACACACACACACACACACACACACACACACACACACACACACAAACAAGTGAAAGGATGTAGAATAGCCTAAACCACTTTAGAGAAGGACAAAGATTTACATTAGCTGATTTCAAGATTTAAAAAGCTAAAATGATCCTGACAGTGTCATGATGGCATAAAGAGACACATAGATCAATGAGATAGGATAGAGAATTCAGAAATACACCCGCTCATAGATGATCAATTGATTTTCATCAAAGGTGCCAAGTCAGTTCAAATGGTGCTAGAACAATCAGATAGCCATGTGTACCAAAAAGAGATCTCATTTCAGTTACCTACTTCGATGATCTATTTTCAGAGCAATGCTTATTTTCAGAGGGTTGTCACTATAGTTCATCCTCCCAACTATATTTAGAATATTCTAAAGCCTTGCTACTCAGAGTGTGATCTACAGACCCGCAGCACTGGCATCCCCTGGAACTTATTAGCAATGCAGAATGTCAGCCCCCACCCCAGACCCACTGAATCAACCCCTGGTTTTTAACAGGCCCCCCCCCCCCCCGCAGATGACCCTACGTACAATGGAGTTTGACAAGCACTAAAGTTGCCCGCTGCACACACCATGGCCTGGAATGCCTCTGAGTAATTGCCTGTTCTCACACATTAATATCCAGCAACCATTAGTTTCAACTGAAGATCCCTGTTCTTTTTGAGGATTGGGCATTTAGGTAAAAAGGAAAAACATTATTATTAATATTAGCTGCCCTTATTGAGCACTATCAAGTACTATGTTAAACATTTGGTGTGCATTATCATTGCATTCTCATAAACTCTAGAATGTACAGCCTGTTGTCATCCTCAGTTTTAAAAGACTAAGTAACTTGCCAAAGGTCCCACATCTAGAAAGCAAAGGAACTGTTATCAAGACCCAGTAATCCTGACTCCAGAGCCTGCGTTCTTAACCAATCTTGAGTCAGGAGGCCTGCTAAATGTGTTCTCTTCCACGGCCCCCTGATAACTCTGGTGAGGTGCATGTTACTCCCATTCTGACTGCAAGGAAGCTGCAACTTGGAGGGGCTTGTCAGGGGCAGAGCTGAGGCTTGCATATTCTCAGTCTGTCCGCTGCCCTGTGCGCACTTTGAGGTTGAAACAACACCAGCGGTTGTGGTGGTTTTATTAATTCTGAGCCTGTATATCACTGTACTGCTCCAAACCAGAAACACGGTTCCTGTGCAGGGATGCCAGCTTTTGCTAGTTTCGAGAGTGTCAATTTCCAGGCGGGCGGGGAAGTGACTTCAGATAGCAGAGTAACTTGACAAGCGCAGGTGTGCATCTGGGCCAGCGGCAGGGCTGTGGGGGCTTCTGAGCCACAGTGATGCCAGGTATCAGGGGAGGTGTCACATTTAGAGATGCCCCTCTTGGGGCTTTTGAGTCACCCACTAAGAATGGAACCTGCCTCTTGAATTCTAGTCTGATTGGCTGCTGTCCTGGGCTTCTTGCCCAGTTTCCGCCCTTCCCCTTCACCTGGGTCTGGGCTCTTCTCTCCCATCCCTTCCTACCCAGAAGTACTTTCCCGAATCTGGCCTTACGCGGCAGATGCCTGAGAAAGAACATCCTGGCCGTCGGAGGGCAAACTTTTTTCAAACCCCTGTCGCAAGTGGGCAGCGAGCCTGCCCTGCGCTGCCAGGCATAGGGTTTTTTTGGCTGGATACTGGGCTGGGCCCGACACAGCTGAGCCACACAGCTGAGGCGCTGTGCAAATAAGGAAACCAGGGCTGGGAGGGATTGTGGGTGGTGGCTGAGTGGAGTAGAGTGGGGAAGAACTGGCAAGAAATACCCTTACCAAGTAACTTGAGCTAAAGTAAAATATAGCTATATCTAAAGAAATCCTCAGAGCAGAAATTATATGGCTTTCAGACTTGTTCACTGTACAATTTATTTGCTTTTACCTCTAGTATCGTTGTGAGGATGGTTAATGAGAACCCACAGGAAATTAATTGCAAGAAAGCATAATGGAGATACGTGCCAATACTGCCTTCTCTTTAGAGGCATAGTGTATAAAGAAACTAATGAAATGGAAAACAAAGATGATCTGCCTAAAGGAAGGTTCCATCACATAAGCTGTTTCTGTCCCTTGCAGGTAGCGCATTAGGAATAAAACTACAACCATTTGAATATTTTTTCCTTTTCCATATGTGTCTGTGTTTTAAGCTTTGGAATTAGAAAAACTTAAAAAGCAATATTCTTAATAACAAAAGTGAAAATTGAAATGGGAAATACATTCAGCCTCATTGTTACATTGTATGTTAAGTAAAAAAGAACGGAGATTCCAAATTTCGATCTCATCTCAGCCAGCCTCCTATCAGCCTTATAACACGGAGTTCCCATGCTTTCACAAATACACATTCTGAGATACAAAGGAAAAGAGAGACTAATCTGGAATCTAAAGATATTTGGATTTTCATCTACACCAGTCTCCCTTCTCATAAGCATATGCTTTGTGGCCAGAAGCATAGATATGTAATATAAATATGTGTTAGAAGAGTCAGCACATACTTATGGGGGGTGGGAACACGGGTGGGGAGTACTTAAGTCTCTACTCACAGTCTATGTATAGCGCTTAGCAAAGGATGGGTGTATGTGGAAGGGTACGGTGCAAATAGGGCTGGATGGGATCTGGTCCTCCGCACTTACTGTCATTCCTGTACCTCTGCCCTCTCAGGTGCTTTCCTTGAGTATAAAATGCTGACACTTCGGACCGAAAAAAAACTGCTTTGCTACTCTCTGGCCCCTGAGAATGAAGTGTGAAACAGAGGGAAGTCTAAGCAATCTGAAACGTCCCTGTTTCCATTTGGGGGTGAGGGATTAGCTAACACATGAAAGAGAGGCACCCGGTGACACCTTTCAGAGCAGTTCCCAGGGCGACCTATGTAACAACCAAGGACGTTTTCTTTGCCCTGACAGCATGAGTGACGTTAGAGATTTGTTTTGTTTTGTTTTGTTTTTTTAAGGGAAAAGAATGGGATTTTTTTGAGGGGGGAAAACAGATTTAAAAAAAAAAACATGTTTCTCTGAAAATTGTAAACTCATTACTGCTCCACCTACATTTTAAAACTATGTAGACATGGTTATGGAAACAAATTTTAAGTGGTTTAAAAATTCCTATACAGTCTTTTCTTTGTAAATACAGTATTTTTATTGACCAGCAAGCTGCCAGAAGGAAGGAACAACATTTGATGTGTTTGTCAGAAACAACATGTGAATCGTGCACTGGTAATTACTGCTATTATACTACTGTTTTAAAAGTCTATTTTCTATTCTCTTTATAGGCAGTGGCCGATGCTTGCAAAATAATGGGGAAAAGGAGATTTTGTCATTAAGTTATGGAAGAGGAACGTTTTTTCCAGAAGTTCAAAATAACTGATGAAATTGATATTGTCACCCCGCAAGATTACATGCAAGTAAGGAATTGAGATTTAGATATTAGAAACAACAATTTAAAAAAGCCTCTGGCCTTGTACTCCAAGAAGAAAGGATCATACATGTTTTTCACTGTAACAAGATACACACAATGTAAAATTTACCATTTTATCATTTTATTGTTGATTTATTTTGAAAGAGAGAGCGAGCACGTGTGAGCGAGCGAGGGCGGTTGGGGCAGGGAGAGAGGGAGAGAGAGAGAATTGCAAGCAGGTTCCACACTGTCATTGCAGAGCCCGACGTGGGGCTTGAACTCACAAACTGTGAGATCATGACCTGAGCCAAAATCAAGAGTTGAATGCTTAACCAACTGAGCCACCCAGGCACCCCCAAAATTTACCATTTTAAATGGTACAATTCACTGGCATTAAGTGCATTCATGATGTTGTGCAAACACCACCCCCATCTAGTTCCAGAACCTTTTTGTCGCCCCAAAGGGAAAGTTCGTATCTATTAAGCTGTCACTCCCCATTCTTCCATCATTCCAGCCCTTATCAACCACGGATCTGCTTTCTGTCTCCCTGTCTCTGCTTTACCTATTCTGGGTAGTTTCTGTTAATGGAATCGTATAATATTTGGCTTTTTACATTTGGGGAGTGATAGCTACTGAATGTGGCCTTTCTTTCGGGGGTGATGGAAATGTTTTGTGGCTAGATAGTAGTGATACAATGTTTATTTAGACTGAATTGTATACTTTAAAATGGTTAAAATGGTGAATTTTAGATTACGTGAATTTTATCTCAGTAAAAAAGTCAAAAATTCAAATACATGGTGCTAAAATAGTGCAAGATGGAGATTTGGCCTGGTAATGAAGGGTCCGATTATTGTTTGGATGCTGTGTGCTTCTAGTAACAGAATGTTCCCAGCCACAAGAGGCTTAGACAACAAAGGACGTTTATTGTACCATGTCCAAAGTGCACAGGTAGGTGGGTCCTGGGCTAGCTAATGCAGCAGCCCCAGGACGTCAGGGCTCTGGGTCAGCTCATTCCAGTGCTCTTCTCTTCCTTCACATGGTAACAAGATGCCTATCACGTTCTCAACCTCCTTCAAAGGCAGGAACAAGGGGACTCCTAAGCGTAATTCTCCTTTTTATCTCAAGAAGAAAAATCTTTGCCAGAAGCCCCCAGCAGACTTCCCCTCAGGTTCCTTTGGTCAGAACTGGATCACATGCTCCCCCTAAACTAATCACTGATAAAGGGACTTGGGACCATTTTCCATGATTGACTTAGAACAATCATGGTTCATATGCTGGGGCCCTCCTTCCTGGAACATATTACTGTTCCATACTTGGAAAAACAAAACAAAACAAAACAGGGCTCTGGAGGCAAGGGAGAAGTGGGAAATGCTTGACGGGCAGGCAATCAACAATGTGTCACAGCCTCAGTCTGGGGCTGAGCAGGTGCTGCGCCCCAGGCAGAGACTCTGTGGCAGGAAGAAACGCAGGGCCTGAAAGCAGGTCTGTGGGGCTGGAGAAGAGAGAGCAGAGGGTTTGGCATGTCGGTGGCCCGGAGGGCTGGTAAGAGAGCTTCAGGCAGGCCTTTGGACCATAGTGAGGTGTTTTTCTTTTCTTTCATCCTGTGTCCAACTAGAAGCTGGTACAGTGTGTTAAGAAATGAGGTAATCTAATCTAGTAAGTGAAGAGACCCATGTGGCTGCAGTGTAGAGGATGGATTTGAGGACAGACAGCAAGAGCTTTCTCCTAGTTTGGATGCTTCTGCTGTACTTCAGGAGAGATGGTGGTCTCTTGGTTGAGGGCCATGAGGCTAGAGACACAAGAGATAGTTAGAGAATAAAATGAGTGGAGCCTTGGTGACAGGGAGGCAAGCTAAGGGAAGGTGTCCGGCACGGCTCCTCGGTTTCTGGTTTGCATAACAGGTTGGACAGCAGTGCTAAATCAGTGAACGTAAACTAGATACCTAAATAATAATAATAGCAAACACTACTGTAATACCAACTCCTTTTGTTCTCATAACAATCCTAAGAGGTAGGTACTATTATTACCGCCATTTTACAAGTCCTAAAGAAACAAGGGATCCCAAAATTCTGGCTCATAATAATAACTATTCACTCACTTGTGTCAGTGTGACACATGAAATTACTGCCGTGCCTTAGAGACTCCCAGTTGTGTTTTCTTTCCTTTAGAGCCTTAACCTGGAAAATGAGAGAATTGAACCGGGAAATAAGTAGCGCTTGGGGATGCCGACTGTCTTTGCTAAGGACATGGGTCACGTACTTGCAGACTGTGGCTAAACCAAGGATTGGTGTCATAGAAAGAAGTCCCCAGATAGACATATTGGGAGAGAGAGACATGATGATTGCTGACATTTATTGAGCCCTTTATGGACACAGCACTCTTTTTAGCTGTTCATTTGCCTACTATCTCCTTCAATCTTCAAATTTGTGAATTATGTGACCCTTTAACAGATGAGAAACATGGAGTTTAACAAGATTTTTAAAAACCTGCCCAAGGTCACATAGCTAAGTTTAGAGCAGGTCATTGATAGTTCTGAGGTGTCTACCCATTTTACTGCTCCACTCTCAGCAAGTAAAACAGTGCTCACTTCACACGGTAGTGCGGGGCCCTAAAAATGACCATGCACGGGTGCCTGGCTGGTTGGTTGGTGGAGCATGCAACTCTTAATCTCGGGGTTGTATGTTTGAGCCCCACATCAGGTGTAGAAATTTCTTAATAATAAAATCTTTAAAAAAAAAAAGATCGTGCAAGCTGAAACTGTGCAAAGCAAATTTAATAATCAATGGGAAAAATCATGATTGTGCCATGCCTTTAAAAAAAATCTTGTCAATGGGCCACCCGGGTGGCTCAGTTGGTTAAGCGTCTGGCTTTGGCTCAGGTCATGATCTCACAGTATATGGGTTTGAGCCCCTCGTCGGGCTCTGTTGACAGCTCGGAGCCTGGAGCCTGCTTCAGATTCTGTGTCTCCCTCTCTCTCTGCCCCTCCCCTGCTGTTGCTCTCTCTCTCTCTCTCTCTCAAAAATAAACATTAAAAAAATTTTTTAAAATCTTATCAAAACATTAAAAACTCTCTTGCTATCTGTTATATAGGAAAATGGAAAAAAAGCAAAACATTTATCACCCTATAATTTTAAACATTAGGAACATTGAGGATCAAGAGTGTTTCATTTCTTTGTAAAAAACATATAAACTGTAAATATACTAAAAACCACTGCATTATATACTTTAAATAGGTGAATTGTATGGGATGTGAATCCCAGTAAAGCTTTAAAAAACAGTTTATCAGGAGTGGTTTCAACTGCACTTGCCTCTTCTTCTTCTCGTGTAACTTACAATACGTAGTGAGCATCTTTTCTATGCCTTGGTGAATTGTCCTACTCCTTCCTAAGTTTAGATTACCTACCAACATTTTATCCTTTGCACTTTATTTTTAAAAATTTTTATCTTTGTTTCTTTATTTTGAGAAAGAGAGAGTGCGGGGTAGGGGGAGAGAGAGAGAATCCCAAGCAGGCTCCACACTGTTAGCGCAGAACCTGGCGTGGGGCTCGATCACGACCTGAGCTGCAATCAAGAGTCAGACGCTCAACCGACTGAGCCACCCAGGTGCCCCTGTCCTTTGCACTTAAAAAAATTTTTTTAACATTTATTCATTTTTGAGAGACACAGAGAGACAGAGCGTGAATGGGGGAAGGGCAGAGAGAGAGGGAGACACAGAATCTGAAGCAGGCTCCAGGCTCTGAGCTGTCAGCACAGAGCCCGGTGTGGGGCACGAACCCATGAACCATGAGATCATGACCTGAGCTGAAGTCGGACGCCTAACCGACTGAGCCACCCGGGCACCCCTACGCTTTAAATGTTGTGAAATCTCAGAGTTCTTGTAATGTGAAGTATCTTTTTTGTCAGCGTCACTTCCTCTGGGCCAGCTTCATCCTTGTTGTCACAACCACTTTCCTCATTTATGCTGGTAAATTCACCTTCACCAAGTTCCTCTAGCTGCCCAGCCACAAGCTCTTGAATGACGGCAATGTCAGTATCCCCTTGATCACCTATTTCTTGTAGAACTCCATTTACATTTCCAACATTATCGCTTTGTGTTTCTCTGTTGGCCTGTTCTTTTGATTATCTTTTATTTTTGTGTTATTATATATATATTTTTTGGTAAATGTCACATGGGTTTATCACCGGGAGACAAAGAGGTGATACAACTACATACTTTGCTGTCTCTGTGTGAACTGAACAAAACAGATCCTCGGTGACCAATCAGTGACACATTTTGGAAGAAGCGACCCGATTTGTCACTAATCACTACACACATCTGCTATTTACGTAGTGACCTATGGACTGAAGAGCTCTCAGCAAAGTTTGCATTTTATACAATTACTAACTTACACTATGGAAACTGAAATTGAAAGTGTTGTTGGAGGACTGGGCTTATTCAATCAAATGGTAGTAATTAAAATTTGTACCTGCCTAAATAATCAAAAGAAAGACTGCTTGTGTGTGTGTGTGTGTGTGTGTGTGTGAGAGAGAGAGAGAGAGAGAGAGAGAGAGAGAGAGACCCTAAATGCCTAGCTGATATTCTATTTCCCAGCATTGTAGATCCTCTGGCCCTATTCCATTTATTTACTTATTTATTTTTTGTTTAAAGTTTTTTTTTTAAGTTTTAAATTTATTTTTGAGAAGAGTGTGGGTACACAAGTTGGGGAGGGACAGAGAGAGAGGGGGACAGAGGATCTGAAGCAGGCTCCACTGACAGCAGAGAGTCTGATGCGGGGCTCGAACCCACGAACCGCGAGATCATGACTTGAGCTAAAGTTGGACACCTAACTGACTGAGCCACCTGGGCTCCCCTGGCCCTATTTTTCTTTCTTTCTTTCTTTCTTTCTTTCTTTCTTTCTTTCTTTCTTTCTTTCTTTCTTTCTTTCTTTCTTTCTTTCTTTCTTT